ATATATATATATATATATATATTTGCCTCTCGATGGAAAGATATTTGGCAACAAAACATTGAACTCTTTCTAACAGCATCTCCGATGCAAATAATAATGTTAATTTTATATTTAATATTAAAAATTATGATATAATATATTATTTTCATTTTTACTCTAATATATAATGTTATTTAAAATTTAAAATCTACTTTTTCTTATAATTATTAAGCTTTAGAAGTTTTAAAAGTAAATTTTTATTTTTAAAATAATAAAAAAAATGCAAAGGTTGCATTGATTACATGAAAAAAGTAAATTTTTCAACCAATAGTAATCAAATGTTAAATTTTTTATATGCTATATTTGGTGAGAAATTTACCACAAACATATGAAAAATTGGCAGCTTAAATAACATTATATTAGAGAATATTTTTTACACTCAAATATTAAATTTGCAGCTGGCACACTAATTATTGGATTACATTAAAGATGTTCTAAATTAATAGAAGATTCTAATAGACGATTGTTCTCCCATTTTTAGTTATTTTTAATATAATTGACGTTTATCCTTCATTCAAAACTCATTAACACTAGAAATTTGTAGTATCTATGTAAAAATTAATTTCAATTTTAAGAATGATGACCTTTATGATAAGGAAAACTATCATAGATCAATTTGTCTTTTTTATTATTATTTGTATTGAGGAAATATCGGAGAAATATATGTTCTCTAAAGAAAAGCCCATATTAAAATTCAATTACATGCATAATAACAAAAAAATATAAATCAATAATGAGTTTTCTTGAACAAAAAATCGTAACAAAAATGCAAATGCTACCCTACACTTTTTTTTTTTTTTTTTTTTTTGAGAATAATGCTATCTCATGGTTCGGACATCATAACTTGCACTTACTAAAAAAAAAGAGAAAAAAGAAAAGGCGTCATATTTTGCACGAGTTTAATTTACATGGGACCAGAATTTAGATTATCAATATTAAAAAAAAAAAAAAAAAACAAGAATTTACCTTCGGATCACCGTTAAAGACCAATCAATTGGCTGCCCTGCAATTCTTCCTTACAATGTGGTAAAAGGTTTTTGAAGCTCGTGCGTGTTTAAAGCAAGGCATTTTTTATATACCCACAATTGATCTTTTAACTTAAAAACTTTACAATTAAAGTATAATGAAAACGATGTTTGTGTTTTTTTTTTGACAATTCTGATCACATGAGCATCTGTTAAGGATAATAAAAGTCATTATCACTCTAACTTTTTTATTATATTGATATCATAGTCATTAATGTATCCGAACACAATTACTCGTGATAAACAATTCTTAGTTTTCAAATGTTATTACTCTATTGAAATACTCTAAAGGTAGAAAACGACTTATATTATCTCAGTAGACGCCCACGTGCGTATCACGTGATTAAAATCATAAAAAACAACATATTATGTTTTTTTATTAAACCTTAATTGTGAAGGTTTTTAATTAAAGAGATCAATTATCAATAAAAAAAATAAGAATTAAATTGCCAAAGTTAAAAAGTTGAGGGACATGCTTAAAAAAAAAAAAAAAAAAAAAAAAAAAACCTTAAAACAAAAACCCTACTTGTTGGATGTACACGTGCCCTCCTAGTTTATTGGTTTCACAAGACCAAGTTGAAACAAAAAAGGGTAGATTTGTCCATTTGTGTGACAGTTACACTTACAATACCTTAAGCCTCGTTCTCTTATTTTATCGGCCAGCCGCCACTCACGTTTCCCTATTACATACGAACTGCCTCAATCTCTTCTTCTATTTTTTTTTTTCCTGCAATTTTCTCTCTCTTTTCATCATTCTCTTACACATGCGTGGTTATTCCTTCTACAAGAGAGCCTCTAGGGCTTTCCATCAATATCCATCGTTGTCTAAGCTTCTTGTCATTGTCACAGTCAGGTCTCTCTATCTCTATCTATCTTTTTTTTTTTTAGAATTGTTAGTCGGGAGATTCGTACTTCGATTCGAATCATGATTCATGATTCGTTATAGTATTTTATCTCATAAAAAATACACGTAAATAAAAAATGATTCTAATTTCATTATTCTAATCTATGAACCAAACGTTTCATTTATTTCTCTATGTTTTTCGATTAACTCTGTTCCTCTCTTTGTTTTGGTCATGTAACAAATATTTTAGAGAGTATTATATGTTTATTCGATGTTTGTTGCCTAAAAAACGTGCTACTTTTCATTTGTTGTTTGTTTGCTTCACTGTTTAGTGCTTGTAATAATTTCAATATTGTTTGATTTATATGATTGTGAATCTGAATTACGAGAACATATATAACGTGAAGGCACTGATCTGTTGATTCACTAGGTTTTTTTTTTCTTGAAGTCCTTAACAATATTTTTTTTTGTGTCCCCATCACACATGTGTGTCTTATATTATTATAATTTCATTTGTCAAAGCTTACAAGCACATGTGAGCGTGAGCACAAATTTATTTGTATTTTAATGCTAAGAAAAAATAGAGAATTTATGAATCAAAGATAAAAGAATAAAAGTTTTTATCTATGAATTTTTAAGAAATATTTGTCAATATTACTTTTAATTATAATAAATTTTTTTTACATAAAATTATATTTTAACTCAAATTAATAAATTCAACCTACCTTAAACACCTCAAGTCAGATTGAATCTGGGATGCGAGATAAATATAGGCCCACTCTGACAGATCATGGGCCCTCCTTTTTAACTCGCGTCTAGTTTAATTCCGTCGCGATGTAGAGCCTCTTTTTTTGTTTTTTTGTTTTGTTTTTTTTTCTCTTTTTTTGTGTTTATTCGTTAAGTTTATTACATAATGTTCCTTTACATGTGGGCCCACTCTGACAGATCTCAAATGGGCCCTCTTTTTTATCTCGCGTCTAGTTGAATTCCGTCGTGCCGTAGAGCCTTTTTTTTTTTTATTCGGTAAGTTTATTTCATGATGTTCCTTTACATATTTTCTAAAAAATTGAAAAGCAAGTTCCTTTACATATTTCCTGAAAAAAAAAAAAAAAAAAAAAAACTTTCTTCCTCTAGATATCATGATAATTAGTCTTTAATTTGACAATTTATAAAAATGTTAGTTATATTAATTTCCTAAGAAAGGATCATATTCTGTAAAATTTCTGTCATACATTCGGTATTCTGATTAATGTATTCTTTTCTGTGTTAATCTAGTGGGGGAGGCGTTGCGGCTTATAATGGAGCAAAACCATTCTCGGCCACATACGCCAGGCCAGTTGAAGGTGAATGCGAGAAGAAGAAGAAGGTGGTGGTACTTGGGACTGGTTGGGCCGGAGTCAGTTTCTTGAAAAACCTGAAAAATCCCTCCTATGATGTTCATGTCGTATCACCTCATAATTATTTTGCATTTACCCCTTTGCTACCAAGTGTCACTTGTGGCACCGTCGAAGCACGCAGTATTGTCGAACCTGTTCGCTCCATTACAAGGAAGGTATATATTCTTTTAGACTTCGTTTAAATTTTTAATTTAAATTGAGATATGATAACTTTTTAAAATTTTTAATTGTAATAGAAAAAGTTAAATGTGACATTTTTTAAAAATTTTAACTGTAAAAACTTAAAATTAAAAACTCAAATTGGTGAAATAAACGAGGTCTTAATACACTAACGCAAAATGAGACCATATTAGATGTGGAGTTGAGGACTCAGTAAAAGAATTACAATTAGACAATATGCTACATAAAGTAAAAATTACATTACGCAACGTATTCACAAGAATGGAAATATAATAAAAAAAATTTTAAAAAAATTTTATGAATGACATAATTACGTAATAATTATTATATTAATTGTCATGCTTTATGATCATAATTACATAGTACTTATTGTAATGATTTCTTATTGATTAATGGCTAGTCTTTAATCTCACATGGCAGAAGGGCATAGATGTTCAATTTAGAGAAGCTGTGTGCTACAAGATTGACGCGGATAATAAAAAAGTTTACTGCCGATCAAGCCAAGACAAAAACTTGGGTGGAAAAGAAGAATTTAGCTTGGACTATGACTACTTGATTATAGGGATGGGAGCCAGGCAAACACTTTCAACACCCCCGGTGTCGAGGAAAATGCCCACTTCTTAAAGGTACACACAAAAATTCCTGTTTGGGTTTGAATTTCCTAAACAAACAATCCATTTCATTGGTATGTAAGACATATTGGAGTTTAAATGCTGAGATGGATCAGTCAAGCTGAGAAAGAAGGCAGGTATTAGGTTGTTAGAATAACGGCAAATTTGTAAATCAAGAAATCACTGATTTCTTGATGACTTGTAACAGTTTTCTGTTTCCTTATATGGGTTTAGTTTTTTTGTTTTTGCCTAATCTTCTTCTCAGAGAGTATTCTTTTTTAGAGCAATAAAGAATCTGGTTAAAGAGGTTTTCTCAGGAATTCTCATTTTCTTCTGGGTGTGTTTTATCTTGAATTGTTCTTGGTGGTTTTGAATCTTCTGAAATTGCCATTTTGAAGTCTGTCATCATCAGGTACTAAAGAACTTGAATTTGATGTCTTTTTTTTTTTTTGAAGGGAGTGGAGGACGCGCTGAGAATCCGCCAGTCAGTGATCGACTGCTTCGAAAGCGCGGGTCTTCCTAGCCTTAGTGAAGAAGAAAAGAAGAGAATTCTGCATTTTGTAGTTGTTGGTGGAGGTCCAACGGGTGTGGAGTTTGCTGCTGAGCTCCATGACTTTGTGACTGAGGATTTAGCAAAGTTATATCCCACGGTCAAAGACTATGCAAAGATTACTCTTCTTGAGGCAGGAGATCACATTTTGAACATGTAATTAGCTGCACTTATTACTTGCCCATACGAGTTTTTTTATTTCTTGTTGGTCAAGTTATAGTAAAGGGTCAGTGTGGTTGTACAGGTTTGACAAGAGAATCACTTCTTTTGCTGAAGAAAAATTCCAAAGAGATGGTATTAACGTGAAAACAGGTTCAATGGTGGTAAAAGTGGGTGATAAGGAGATCTCCACAAAAGTAAGAGGAACTGGCCAAGTTGCGAATCTGCCCTATGGCATGGTAGTCTGGTCAACTGGTATTGGGCCACGTGATGAAGTGGTCGATTTTATGAAGCAGATTGGTCAGGTATTCCAAAAATTCATACTCGTTACGACTAGGAGAAAGCACGTGTAGGGGTTTTGTCGCAGTGTTTTCAGTATTATAGGTTTGGACTAAATTTGAATACATGATAGTGTTTTTTTTTTTTCCCAAGCACCTATTTTCATTTTGATAGGGTTAAAACTCCGCTACTCACATAAAGCAGCCCCATTACATAGGTAGGTAGAACCTAGAAATAATTTGTGAGTGATAATCTGTGAGTGTATATTAGACCACGCTATCTCTTTTATATATGTAAAATTGAAAAGAGCATTGTGCATCTAGAAAGGATTGCGGACCACCTTAAAGCAAACTTTTGGACACAACTGCCTTTTGATTTACAATACTCACCACATGAGGATTTAATATTGTCGTTGAAACAGACTAACAGGCGTGCTTTGGCTACTGATGAATGGCTGAGAGTGGAAGGATGTGACAACGTATATGCTTTAGGTGATTGTGCAACCATAAATCAACGCAAAGTCATGGTATACTTTTACAATTACACAATATTCTTAAACTTCTTTTGTTGCATACATTAATGAGTAAGTACCCATGTTATAAAACAATAATATATTTCCTTTTTCATTGTTTTTCCGACACTGTAGGAAGATATTGCGTTGATATTCAGCAAGGCAGACAAGAACAACTCAGGTACTTTGAACATAAAGGACTTTCAAGAAGTTGTTGATGACATCTGCGAGAGGTATCCCCAGGTGGAGCTTTATTTGAAGAAGAAACAAATGAAGAACATTGTCGAATTACTCAAGAATTCTCAAAAGAAGTCTGTTGAAGTCGATATCGAGACATTCAAGTCTGCTCTTTCTGAAGTGGATTCCCAGATGAAAAATCTTCCTGCCACAGCTCAGGTCAACCTAACCACAACCAAAGATGAATTTCCCTTTTGTTAAGTGTTTATTTTCTCCTTAATTGTTACTTAGATTCCTTTTGACTATTAATTTCAGGTGGCTGCTCAACAAGGTGCCTATCTTGCCAACTGTTTCAATCGTTTGGAGGAGTGTGAGAAGTACCCTGAAGGCCCTCTTAGGTTTAGATCCGTGGGTCGCCACAGGTTTCGTCCCTTCAGGTATTATTCCACGTGCACATAATTATTGTACTTATTGCAACTATTTGAAAGAGTTAATGTCAAAATGTGTCATACTAGAAATTCGATGATATGGCAGCTCTATTTTCAGCAAAGAAAGTAATATGTGCTATATATATGATAACACTAACGGTAGTGTTACGTTCAATAAATGTTATGTTATGCTTCTCAACGGTGAAAGTGTGTTCCTTTCTGGAGGCTATAGCAATACACCACACACATATACCATGATGTCATACTAGTATGTCTATTGTGTTCTCTAGTACAAGGCAATTCGGATGCTGATTTACTAGGAATTTACTGAATCGCAAATAAACTATATCTACTTGGTGATTTAACAAAAAGGTACAAGCATTTAGAGCAATTTGCCCCTCTCGGAGGAGAACAAGCTGCAGCTCAACTCCCTGGAGATTGGGTCTCCATTGGCCACAGCACACAGTGGCTCTGGTACTCTGTCTATGCAAGGTAAGTTTCAGTGTCGCATTTGTTCTAAAATCGAACTAGCCAGGTGTTTTCTTCTTCTTCTTCTTTGTTTTTTCTTTTCTTTTTTTTGAAAAAAGCATAATAAATGTTCTCATCTTTTATATGCTTGTCCTTTTTTTTTTCCCCCTTACAGCAAGCTAGTAAGTTGGCGTACAAGGGTATTGGTGGTATCTGACTGGGGAAGACGATTCATATTCGGAAGGGACTCTAGTCGAATTTGAAACAGGAGAGGATATGCTTCCACCATTTTTGTTTTCTGATCCTCCTTACTTTTTGGAGCTCTCAAACAGGTTAACTACGGTTGTTTCGTAGAAACTCTGGTTGTATTTTTGTTAGTACAATTTCAGGTTTTTGTTGGACGAGTTGGTTCCTTCGCAGTTTGTCTTATAATAGGTTGGAAATGGCAAGAAGCAGCTATAGTTGATGCTTGATGTCATATGCCGTATTTGTACCAACTATTTTTTGTGCACATGCAAAAAAAAAAAAAAAAAACAAAACAAAGTCATCTTTTTCAGCTTTGAGTTCTTACCGAAAATAAATTTTGGTGGTGGGGAAAGCCAATAAAAAATGACAAAAAAGACGAGAAATTTGCTCTCCTTCACTTGAATTATAACTATAACTAGGAAAAATTAGACAATGCAATGAAAAAAATAAATATTTAGAGAAGAATAACGAAATATTACATCTTAATCTGTTATTGCATAGTAGAAGAAAGGCAAGCTCTCAAACAATGAACTTAACAAAAAAAGCCTTATAGTTTCTACTCCATAACAAGAGTTATGGATGGATCATAACAAGAAGCAACCCAAAATTTAACCAAATCCTCTATATGGAGAATCAATCCTCAACAATTTTGCCTCATGTTTCTTTCATTTCTATTTCTCCACAGCATCCTCTTCTTCACCAAAACTCAGTGCCTGACAAACCTCCTCATTGGAGCAAAAGTAGGACCTCCTCCCAACCAACTCAGCCACCCTCTTTGCCGGCCCGGAATTTCTCGGACTCTCATTAACACACCGGAAAGTCCTAATCCTCGGAAGCACATCTCCGATCTCCGCCACTGGCAATGGCGACTTCTCTGCCTCCTCGTCCTCCAAGCTTCTAAACACCACAACTTCGCTTGGAATCTCCCATTTCTTCTTCACTCTGCTCTCAGCACCCTGACTTCGGCCACTAACATCCCCTCTCTGTTTCCCCACCAACGACGCACGTTTCTTCTCGCACCGCTTCCCGCCGCCGCCGTCCTTGTCATCCTCAGGAAGTGATCTTTTCCGACCGTCGCTCATCCCCGAATTGTACCGGCTCGCCACGACCCTTCCTGGCCTCATCGGCTTCTTCGCAGTCACCGACTTCTCTCCCTCTTTGAAAAGCTTCTTTGGCTGAATCGCTGAGAGAATCGCCTCTTCCTTCTTCACAATCCTCTTGGAAGAACACGCCGTCGTGGCCGGTTGTTTCGGAGGCTGAGTCTTCGACACGGTTTTTCGTGCTTTGGGGCTGAGACTCAAGCTTTTCCCTCTCTCTTTCGTCGCCCTCAGTTCATCAACATCTTGGAGCTTCCAAAAACAAGACTTTCGGCGATTCTGTATCGCCTGAACAGGGGTGATTTCGAGCTTGCTTAATCGGCGTAACCCGGCGCCGGCGACAATCTCCGACGGCCCCAAACTTAGCCCTCGGCGATTCAACTTCGTTTTTGTACTACTCGGAGGCAAATTCTCCTCAATCTTCACACTCTGTTTCGGCGGCGGATCCAAGAATTTTGCCTGCACGATTCGCCCTCGCCTTTCGATCGTCTTCGCATTCCGTTCGGCCTTTTCGAGACGAAGCGCTTCGAGTCTCGACGACAAGCGACTGATCTCCTGCTCGATCTCCGCAATCTCCGAATCGATCCTCTTCTCGTCGCGAGTCTTATCGCCTTCTTCTTGATTTTCACCTCCAAGAAGAAGGCCCTCTTTGAAGAGAAGCTTTGGCGGCTTCGCTTGCGAGTTGACGACCATGCTGTTCGGCTGAAGAGGCTTAGTAGGCGCCGAGGATTTGACGGAGATTGGTGTTTTCGCAAACTCGGGGCTCAGATTCTCTTTGCTGCAATCAGACTGGAGCGACTCCGAAGATCGGTGAAGACTCGACCAGGAAGCTTTAATGGCGGCGGAGAGTTCGGATTCGTCGTTGTTGTCGAAGGCGATGTTGTTCCATATATGAAGCTCCGGTGCGTTCATGGCGTCTGGATGTTGCAGAATGTTCATATTAATTTTTTCTAATTTACAAGATCGACGGTGATTCGATGGTTCTTTGTTTTTCTTTGTGATTTCTTGGGGGGTTTCTTTATGGTGTAAATGGTGATCGGAGAGAGAACGCGAGAGTGTGTGTGTGTGTGAGAGAGAGAGAGATGTATTGTATGGGAAGATTTGTTTTTTTGTATTTTGAGATATTTGACCGTTGTAGGAAAAATTAGACGTTGCGAGCTTGTGCGGAGGGCGTCGTCTAATCATGGCCGTTGGATGCGAAACGGCTCCTATAGACGCTCCGTTTTGATTTCATCATAATTATAATGATAAATGAAACACATTTTTTGAAGGGAAAAAAAAAAGAAATACAATAATTGCCAATTGATCATAAATTCCTTTAAAAAAAAGAAGAAAAAGAACCACTTTCGTCAAGTCCTCCCAAAGAAAAAGAAAACCAAAATAATAATTTACATAAAAAAAGTTGAAAATATGAGAAGTTTTACAATGCATCTGCATCCTCTATTTGTGACCTATAAGTATTATTTATTATTATATTAAATTTTTAATGATTAAGGATCTGTTTAGTTCGTTAATTTAAATTTTTAATTCGAATTTAAATATAATTTTATGTGAGAATTTTTTACTATAATAAAAAAATTAAATATAATTATTTTTAAAATTTTTTTACTATAATAAAACTTAAATTTTAAATTTAAATAGATAAAATAAATAAAACTTAAATTTATATTAAAAATTTATAGCCCTACTCCTAGTACAAATTTAACTATTAAAAGATAATCTTTAATAGTAAAAACACGGTGAATCACAATTTTAAAATGCACTATAAAAAAAGTTTAAATATATATTTTTTAAGAAGAGTGTTAAATGCGTACTTTAATTCAGACTCTTTTTCAGATGCTTTCTTACTCTTTTGACAAGTGTCAATTCATTTTTTTAGCTAGTTTCACAATAACAGTCCATTTTTTTCATGTTTATTTACAAGTCTGTCATCCATTTAATCCCCCATGGGTCTGTTAATATATATGTTTTTGTTTTTTTTCAACTCTAGCGCCCCACTACCTCACTTTTATTTGGTTTTTCTTTTGTTTTCTATTTATCTATTTTTTTTCAACTCCCTCACGTACGTATGCTAGTTTGTACTTTGTACATGCTAAGTAGCTGATACTAAAAATAACAAAAAGAAAAACTCTATTTTCATATTAAAAAATAGAACACAAAAAATATAGGATCTAAATATAAAATGATAGAAGACAAAAATATAATATCTAAATAAAAATAACACATGCTTACTGTCATTTCTGAAATCAAGTTACATATAACAATTCCTCTTATAAAAAAGTAAAATGTAACAATTAAAAATAGTTTTCCCTTTTTCATTCTTCCGAGCATGTATCCTCCAAAAAAATTTTACTTCAAAATCACGTCTTCAAACTTATGATCCATCTAAATATTTGATTGACCAACTTATTATAATCTTCTTATTAGAAGTCAAATTGTACCTAAAATTCAAAAAAAAGCGACAATGGTTATAAACTATATAGAACTTATCAATTACATAAATAAGATTATGGTCTAAGTTTACCATCTTCTGCGCCTTAAATTGTTGATTTCAAGTTTTTATGTGCATCTTTAGATCCCGTTTATTTCATCAATTTGAGTTTTATTACAGTAAAAAGTTCTAAAAAACAGTCACATCTAATTTTTTTATTACAGTAAAAAATTCTCACATAAAGTCATATCTCAATTCAAAGTAAAAAGTCAAATCAGTAAACTAAACAGTAGTGTATTAAAATCACCCTGCAATGTTAAATGTGTTCGGTCGTTCTCCTTTTTTATTTTTTTCTCTTTCTCTTCTGCTGGAACCTGAAAAGTCGTTCATTAGGAAGCAAAGGAGATAATGGCATTTTTTTAAATAAAAGGTGCAAAAAAAAAAAAGGTAACACAAGGGGTAATGTGGGATTAAATCTGAGGATGATAGTCTTATAAATAAACATGAAAAAGTAGACCATTATTAAGTGAAGTTGGTTGTAAAATGAGTTAGCACTCCTCAGTCCTTATTTTTTAAAAAGATCGCCCAGTCAAAGGAAAAAAAAAAAAAAAAAAAAAAACGCAGTTGTCTTCTTGTCTGCTACTCGCGCTTGCGGTTAACTTACGTGGCAGAACCAGAAACGGTGCGTTCAGACAGATCAAAAGGAGCCAAAAACGACGCCGTTGGTGATGACGCAGGCTATGATAGTGTGATTGTCGATCGAAACGCTCTTAAGCTCTAAAAAAACCTTTCTGCAATTTCCGATTCTGATCGCCGGCCAGCTACTCTCCAAGCCTCCATCTTTCACTCCCTACAAACACGAGAAAAGGAGAATTAAGGTTTTTTGGACTACCCAGACAGAATTTGGGACTCAATTTCCCGGAATTGAATTCGGAAATGGATCGGGGGAGGCAGGTTTTCGCGGTTGACGTTCTAGAAAGGCACGCCGCGAAGGGGCGTGGCGTGGTCACCTGCATGGCCGCCGGAAATGACGTCATTGTCATCGGAACCAGCAAGGGATGGATCATCCGCCATGACTTCGGGGTCGGAGATTCCTATGGTATTTACTTTCTCATTCCTCTCGCTTAATTGCATTTCCTTCAAACTTGATGAAGCCGTTGAAAATCTGGAATCTTTTTCGCAATCGTAGAAGAAAATCTCACCTTTTGAATTGTTTAGTTAGGTTTTTTTTTTTTTTTTTTTTTTTTTTTTTTTTTTTGTTGAAAAACTTGTATTTTTGTTATTAAAGTTAAGCGTAAAATCAATTTGATGATAAAGAACTAACTGTTAACTACTTGCTTCGTATTTGTAATTGGATTCTTTGACTGTGAAATCTGCAATTGCTGTGGAAGTCTAGTAATGCGTAGCTAGTTGTTTGAGCTGTAGAAATCGATCTCTCGGGGGGTCGTCCTGGGGAACAATCAATCCACAGAGTGTTTGTTGATCCTGGAGGGAGCCATTGTATTGCCACAGGTGTTGGTAATGGCGTTTCGGATACCTTTTATACTCATGCCAAATGGAACAAACCCCGTGTTTTGCCCAAATTGAGAGGTCTTCTTGTGAATGCTGTTGCCTGGAACAGACAACAGATTACAGAAGGTAATAAATTGTTTGAGACCGTTTATTACCTGAGATGTTTGGAAAAGTTTTTGTCAGTATCAATATATATATTTTTTTTGTTGGCTAATTTAATCGCTTGAAACACAGCTTCCACAAAAGAAGTAATCCTCGGTACAGATAATGGACAGCTTCATGAGATTGCTGTGGACGAGAAGGATAAAAAGGAGAAGTATGTAAAGCTTCTGTTTGAATTAGCAGAACTTCCTGAAGCCTTCACGGGTCTGCAGGTACTCATCCTTTTCTTTGGGATATTAATTCCGGGCTTCCAGCTGTTTGTGACTTCTTCAGTTTCTTTGCAATAGCTTAGATTCAGCCGTTTGATTGTTTATACCAAGCAACTAGAGTTTCTCTTGAGACTATTGAAGATATTCTACAAGCATGTGCTTGTGCTTTGTATCCATCAGATTTCGCGGCTGGTTTTAGTTTGTAGTTATACATGCTTATATGTCCAAAAAACTTTGGTAACCTATACACGCACGCATGTACACTATCAAAGCTGATATTATTGATGGAATGGTAATATTAACTTTGCAACTTCAATTGTTCACCCTCTTGGTCTTATTGTCTGTGTACAGATGGAAACTGCTAGCATTCCAAGTGGAACCAGATATTATGTGATGGCTGTCACGCCCACACGACTTTATTCTTTCACCGGTTTTGGATCACTAGAGGTAAATTTAAATCTTACATCTAACTGCATATGGTTGAAAATACATGTCATATTGTCCATTGGAGTTTCGGCCAATTGTTGACGAAATAGACTGTGGGGAGGGAGGGGACATGGGATAGAAATAAAAAATAGGTCTGTACACTGGTATTTTTCTTCTTTTATATCTTCAAAAAATTCATGATTTCTAACAACAAAAGACAGATATACATTGTTTTTAAAAGACAAATATAGAGATACACATCCATGCTTGTGTAAGCCCTTTGTCTTGATTTTATCATTGTATTAAGTGTTCTTTTTATTAATTATTGTGCATTTGTAGACTATTTTCTCAAGTTATGCAGATCGTGCAGTGCATTTCATGGAACTTCCTGGTGAAATTCCAAACAGGCAAGTGCTAGTTTTTTCTTTCATTTATTATTGTAATAGAACAAGATGATGCAAATTAGCGAAACTTTAAATGCTGTATTTGATATTCCATTTTAGAGTATCCTTCATTATGGTCAATATCATGCTGTTATTAATGGTTCCTATTTAATCATCTTCCACTGTCTTAGACATTTTCAGAGTTCAGACCATAAATATATCTTTGTTTTCTTCCAGTGAACTGCATTTCTATATCAAGCAAAGAAGAGCTACACATTTTGCATGGCTTTCTGGTGCTGGTATTTATCATGGTGGTCTAAACTTTGGTGCACAACACAGGTAGAAGAGGGCATTTAATAACTTCTTTCCTAGGTGACAACAGGATCCATTTTCGTAGATTATTGCATTTATTATTATCACTGTTGTTACTTGTGGTTTTCTTTTTGCAACATATCATTGTATTACCTTCTTGCCATTGTTCTGATCGATTGTTAATGTTTCTTAAGTGCTCAATTCTCAGTAAAACCTCTCTCAAGTCCAGAATCTGGATTTTTTTTTTTTTTGTGCAGTTCGCCAAATGGAGATGAAAACTTTGTAGAAAACAAGGCTCTTTTGAGCTATTCAAACCTTTCTGAAGGTGCTGAAGTGGTGAAACCCAGTTCTATGGCTGTATCTGAATTTCATTTCTTGCTTCTTGTCGGAAACAAGGTTAAGGTGTGTTCGTAACTGCCACTAATTATCCATTTATATCTGTGACAATATCCATGCTATGAGCAATATATTTGGGACTACTTCTGATGTTATTTTAAGTATCGACAGGCCTCTTTTGGATTTTTAAATTACGTTTTATCCCTGTATTTCTAATAATCTTGATTTTTTTTTTCCTGAAATTATTAAATGTTTTGTAGGTTGTAAACAGAATTAGTGAGCAAATCATAGAGGAACTTCAGTTTGAGCAGACGTCCGATTCAGGTTCAAGGGGTGTGATTGGGTTATGTAGTGATGCCACAGCTGGGCTGTTCTATGCATATGACGAAAGCTCTATTTTTCAGGTTTAATCTCTTAAACAACGTATTCTTTTTTGGGCTTTCATTCAATTTTGCACTAGAAAGTAAATATTGTGTACACAAGGTAATGAGAACATTAGTAGGTGTCTGTCAATGATGAAGGCCGAGATATGTGGAAGGTTTATCTGGACATGAAAGAGTATGCTGCAGCTTTAGCAAATTGTCGTGATCCACTTCAAAGGGACCAAGTATATCTACTGCAGGTAATGTTCAGTTCTGGTTATATATCTAGATTGCAGTTTCTATTTAAGCATCCTGCTACCTCGTAATCATGTATTTATTCCAGATTGTATAGTTATCTGACTAGTATATAACAGAAGTAATATTGATGCAGGCTGAATCTGCATTCGCTTCCAAGGATTATCTTAGAGCGGCATCTTTCTATTCAAAAGTGAATTCTCTGTTTCTTGCTCTTTCTATGTTAGTGTAGTTAATCTAGAATGTTGGTGAAACCATTCCTTTGTTCTTATTGGTAAACTTGATTTTATATGCTCATGGTGAAGACTTTGTCGGACATCCCCCATAAGTGTCATCAGTCAAATCATAAATATGTGGAATTGTGGCTATAAACCACCCTAAATGGTCATCTACTTTTTGATGAACACAACTTTACAGCTAAATTTAAATGAAATGCAGGTGTATTGTACCTTGCGAAGTAGCTAAATCAATGTAGAAATTCACAAACTCACACCTCTCCAACTTGTACGATCATGCCTCATGTGGGTCTAATATACTTTGTATATGACTGTATAATTTGGACTGCCTCCCTCAATTATCATATTGCATTTTTTGTTATTTATTGTTCTTGCAAATTGTGCTAAAGAACCACATACTTCTATACTCAGTTTGTAGAATTAGCTCTTTGTCTTTCTATATATATAGGCATATTGAATGCGTAAATCTTTTGATAGTGATGATTTACATGGTGATGCTTTCTTTATTCAGAAAGAATGACATCTTTGTACATGATGACAATGTTTTGCAGATCAATTACATATTATCATTTGAGGAGATTACTCTGAAGTTTATTAGTGTGAGCGAACAGGTAATTGCAGAGAAATTTTGTGTTCTCGTTCATTGGGTATCACCTTTAAGTTTTATAATTTACCATGCCCACTTGCAGGACGCTTTGAGGACTTTCTTACTGCGGAAGCTTGATAATCTTACAAAAGATGATAAGTGCCAAATAACAATGATTTCAACATGGGCAACTGAATTATACCTGGACAAGGTTTTCCTTCGTTTGTCTTGATCTTGGATGTGATAACTGGTTTTGCTCTCTTTCTCTGTTTGTCTTATTTGTGATATATTTGGCAAGTTGTGTATCTCATTTGCATTGGTAGGAAGAGAAGTCAAGTTTCCCCATTTAGTTAATCTAGCAATTGATCTTAAGCATAATGAGCCTAAGAATGATTTCAGGAATTTCCTTTTTTCAAATATAGTTAGAGAGGGGTTTTCATTTTTATAGCTCTGTAGTCTTGGTTTTTTTGTATTGACGAATTCTCTTCCTCTTATCCTCCCGTGCATGTTTTCTTATTTATTAATAAGATTTTCTCGTTTCTCTGTTCTTTTCTCTTTTTCATTAATGGGAGAAATTTTTTTGATGTAATCTTTATACAAAATTTTCTTTAAAGGTTTCAATTATTCCCCAAATTTTGGCGTTTTAGTATACCCATATTTCAAATTTAAAACGTCAAATAAACCAAAAATCTTTCCTGAGAGATAAATAGTTAAAAAAAATAATAATAATCATTGCACTATTATTTTAGTTCAAATTTTGGTTTAGCGTGCTGATGCTTTAAATAACTTTTGAACTTGATATTTCCATATCAGATAAATCGATTACTCTTGGAAGATGACACTGCCGTGGATAACCGTGGTTCAGAGTATCAATCAATAATTTTAGAGTTTCGTGCCTTTCTTAGTGATAGCAAGGATGTATTGGATGAGGCAACTACAATGAGACTTTTGGAGAGGTAATTCTTGAAATGAACCCTCATAAAGTGTTTGCCTTGAGACTGAACCTTTTTCTTACAAGTATGAGTATGACTAGTCATTTCTTCTCTTCTTTCCCGACTTAATATGTTTGTTTTCTGGGAGAGGATTGGATTAGCTTCTGAGTTTCTTATTATAATGTATGGCCAATTGATACTCGATTACCTTTAAGATGGCAGGTGTTACCACAGTACATGCTAATCTCTGTCATGTCATTTTTAAACATTTCAAATAGCTTTGGGCTAGCAGAGGCCAATATCTTGATTTTCTTGTTAGATGAAAGAGCTCTGGAATAAATTGTTTAGCAATATGTTGCAGTTATGGTCGGGTTGAAGAATTGGTCTTTTTCGCCAGTCTAAAGGAGCAGTATGAAATTGTAGTTCACCATTACATTCAGGTGCTTTTTTCTTTTTTCTAATTCTGTTTCTTATACTTGTTATTGTTGTCATTTATTACCTATTGTTGCTATTGTAAAGGTTCTTGTACCACTGTCATTTAGCGCTCCTCCCAGTACTGTACTGTGTGTCTGTGGACATAAAATTCTGTAGGCACACACATACGTACACCAGCGAACTTGTTAACTGTCAGTCTGTCACAATGCATAAAATGTATTGATGTGCATTCCTGTGATTTCAAAGATTGTGTTTTTTCCTTATTAGAAGAGAATAGAGACATACCATTCTTTTCCTATGAGCTTATCGGTTCATTTCTATTTCTTAGGCGCTTTAGCTCATTTATTAATTTGACAATTTTTCCCCTTCTCGGTTTTGGTATTAGCAAGGTGAAGCAAAGAAAGCATTGGAAGTGCTGCAGAAACCTTCCGTTCCCATAGATCTTCAGGTATAGACCAAGTTCAAGGATTCGAAACAAGTTTTTGTTTTCTTTTGTTACCACATAGCTTGCTTCATAGTTATGAGATCTTCTAATTGTTATCTTGCAGTACAAGTTTGCGCCTGACCTGATCATGCTTGATGCTTATGAAACTGTGGAGTCATGGATGACCACGAACAAACTCAACCCAAGGAAATTGATTCCTGCTATGATGCGTTATTCAAGTGAACCTCATGCAAAGTAACGTTAAACTGTACATGCACCTTTAATAGATTGTACTTTTTGTCATGTTTATGGTCAAGTTCGACGCTCACATGCTCATGCATGGAAGTTTTTCCTCTGGCTGTAAAATACAGTATTCATTAAATTCTTAAATTCTCAGATAATTTTGAATACCAATTCATGCACATGCATGGAAGTTTTTCCTCTGGCTGTGAAATACAGCATTCATTAAATTCTTTGATAATTTTGAATTCCAATTCATGCACTATTTTACATACAGGAACGAAACCCATGAAGTGATAAAATATTTGGAGTACTGTGTTCATCGTTTGCATAATGAGGACCCAGGAGTCCACAACTTGCTTCTCTCCCTGTATGCTAAGCAGGTCGGTATTCTTGCATTTGACTTTCTGGATTTATCTTTTAATTATACCGCTAAGCTGCACGTCTACATGCTCTACTGTATTATGTGTCAACCAGAGAATCACAAATCAATTTCTGCTGATTTCATGTGCATCAGTCATTCTATGAATGTCTCGCCCATTCTATTTATTGAGTTCCAAGTTCTCAAGTCAATTTCGGAATTCTCTGTTTACTTTAAAAAGATGTAAGATGTAACTTCTTACACTATGACCAAGAAACACAAACTTTCGTAACATTTCACCGAGGATCTAAAAATATCTAATCAGAACCACAAAGAATATTTAATTTTTGTGTCTTTTGTGGACTTTGGTGGATCATTTTCGTATGCACTGAAACTATTCAGGCTTAATCCTGAACTCAAAGTAACTTGAACATAAATTTCGTGTTTATATTTGAAACATATAATGTACTAATTTATTAGTTTTTGTGATAAGAACAAAAGATACATGATTGCCTTTGGAGTTGAATTAAAAGCATATCACTAATCTATGTTGTTTTAACCTCACATCATATGCTCAGAAGTAGACATCCCTGCATTAATGAGTTGACTTTTATTTGTTATCTTTTCGTTTCTTGCATAATCAGGAAGATGATAGTGCACTACTGCGATTCCTACAATGCAAATTTGGAAAAGGGCGGGAAGGTGGTCCTGATTTCTTCTATGATCCCAAGTATGCCTTACGCCTTTGCCTCAAGGAAAAGCGAATGCGTGCATGTGTTCATATATACAGCATGATGTCCATGCATGAAGAAGCAGTTGCACTTGCCCTACAGGTAACTGATTTGTCATTGGTTTGCTTTAGACTCCTTAGTTCATTATTGAACTCGTGTCAGTGTGTAAGTACTTTTCTCATATTTCAGGTTGACCCGGAGCTTGCTATGGCTGAAGCTGATAAGGTTGAGGATGACGAAGATCTAAGGAAGAAACTTTGGCTAATGGTGGCAAAGCATGTCGTTGAACAGGAAAAGGGAGCTAAAAGGGACAACATACGCAAGGCAATAGCATTTCTCAAGGAAACTGATGGCCTTCTAAAGATCGAGGATATACTACCATTCTTTCCAGACTTTGCCTTAATTGATGACTTCAAGGTAAAAATATTGACACAACTTGAGTTTTCATTTTTGATCTACCCAACTCTCCCTCTCTCTCTCTCTCTCTTGTTATACTATTTTCCTTTTTCTCTATTACTCTTGGAGACTGTTACCATGCGTTCCTTGTTATAAATTTATAAATTATAACCCACACTTGTGAGACATTTCCGTTTCTGTTTCTAATGGATTAAACACTCTGTACTTTTGTAGGAAGCAATTTGCTCATCATTAGAGGATTACAACAAGCAAATTGAACAACTGAAACAGGAGATGAATGATGCAACACATGGTGCAGACAACATCAGAAATGATATAAGTGCACTTGCTCAAAGATATACTGTGATTGAACGTGATGAGGAATGTGGGGTATTGGCCGTTCTCATGTTGACTTTCATTGATAAACTGATATATTATGATATTTGTTTAAAATATGGATATAAAACATGTAGATAACTACATTCAAGAGAACCTTAAGAAGTTCCAAAACAAGCCTGCCTGGTTTGGCTCCTTTTATGTGCATGTTATTAATGTTCTTTTCGGGCCTTGCATCAAATTCCTGAGCAGTCTCTTGTAGTTGGCTGGAAATGTAGTTTTGATTTTAGTCAACTCAAGGTCTAGATTGAAACTATTGTAGTCCTATTGCAATCTTCAAGATCTTTTAACTTTACCCTGAGACTTCAAGTTTTCTTTCATGTCTGAGTTATTTAGCTGTCCATGTAGCTAAAATATGACTTGCAAAAAATCTGTATTTTCATGTCAGGTATGTAAGCGAAAAATATTAACAGTGGGTCGGGAGTATCAAATGATGCGAGGGTATACATCAGTAGGATCAATGGCGCCCTTCTATGTCTTTCCATGTGGACATGCCTTCCATTCACATTGCCTAATTGCCCATGTGACACGTTGTACACCTGAAGCTCAAGTAAGTTGTTGCACTTTCAACTTTCGCCAGGGTTTGTTGTCTACTTTGTTTCTTTGTTTTACCAGGTCCATCTTAAATCTATTTTCTGAAAGTTATTTCTAGTCGGTCTTTCCAGCTCAGACTCTTTCTTCCCCTGTTAATATTGCAGGCAGAGCATATACTTGAGCTGCAGAAGCAAATTACTTTACTTGGTGGGGAGACTAGAAAGGATTCAAACGGTAGTTTAAGTGAGGATTCCATCACTAGCACGACACCCATTGATAAGGTCAGCATTATGTTTCTTTGTCAACCAGTATCATCTTTGTTTGCAAACAGTATTATTGTCACTTTCTGATCATCTTATAGAGGGTCAGGCGTTAAAAAATTATAATATGCCTATATGCTGCATCGAGTTGGCATATGAACTATGACTTCCATATACTAACCGAAACTGGGTAATTTTTATTCGGCAGCTTCGATCACAGTTGGACGATGCCATAGCTAGTGAATGCCCCTTTTGTGGGGAGTTGATGATTCGAGAGATCTCTTTGCCATTTATCCTCCCAGAGGAAGCACGGCAGATTCATTCATGGGAGATAAAACCAGAACATAATCTTGGGCCACAACATAATCTCGGAGGCCAGAGGACCCTGTCTTTGCCTTTGTGATTTTATTCTTTTTGGTGCTTGCTTCAGTTTGCCTGTGTCCTTGTGCTTTTTCCTGGCCAGTTATGAAAGCTTTTCACCTCTTCCTTTTTATTTGTATAATTTTCTTAGTTGTGAGTTACCGGGTCATGAAAGTGCGTTCGTTTTGTTGTATAATGGCTGTATTATTACTACTCTGCGTCTTTGGCTGGGTCGGTTTTCTTTTCCTACCCAAAAAAGTGTACGCAGTTACGTTTGTTTCTTGTATTTATTCCTGATTCTGAATCATAATTTATAGTTTTCTACAGTGTTTTCTCATAAAAAATACACACAAAACGAGAATGTTTCTGAATCATGATTCTAAATACATAAACCAAACGTCAACTTCTAAATTACCTAAATCACCCTTTGTCAGCACAAGACTATTCATCTCTAATCATATATTTACAGCAAACTGGAAAATTTGGTCCACTTTAATTTTAGTCAAGTTTATTTATTATTTATATTTATACATAATTAGAATTATTATTATTAATGCTCTAAAATTTTAAAATCATTTTTAATTTGCTCTCTAAACTTTAGCACATAACTTCTATTCTAATTTCTATTGAAAACAGAAAATAAAATAATGCAGTAACCTTTCTGGTTAAATTTCTGCCAAAAATAAAAATAAACTGTTAGAAATCACGTGATTATACAATTTTTTTTTTCTCATGTAAACAAAATTCCTAAAAAAAAGACTTAATGAGAGTTTAGAGAGTGAGAAGTGAGAACGACTCTTTATTTTTATGAAGTCTCCTCTCATGTAATTTTTCTTGAATTTACTTGTTAAATTTGTGGAACATTTCACCGGTCAAGATTATTCTTGAGCTCAACAATCCCTTTTTCACTCTTCGCAAAAATACGTGCCGTTTAACTCGCGTGAAAAACACAATCTCGTATTCAAATTTTCAAATTTTATTTTTATTATGTAATTAAAAATTTTCATAAAAAATTAAAATTTAATTTAATTTTTTTATTATAATTAAGAACTCTCCCATTAAACTCTCGCCTAAAATTATATCTAAACTCATTACTGAACACTCAAATCGGAACGTAGTAAAGTCTCCTACACACAAATTTGACGCGCAAATGTTTGTGCATCTTCACCTCATCAGTTAGGGAAATATGCTCCACAGTGTTTTCCTTTGCGCCCAATAAACACAGGATCAAATTACCAGATCTTAAACTCTACTCAAACGGATTTTAGATCTTTGAGCAACTAAAAAGAAAATAAAAGAAAAGGGCCACACACACAAAAAACAAAAAGAGATAAATTTTTGCACAATGACACGGATAAGATTCTAGGTTTTGATATTATCGTAAGAAAAAGGGAGATTCAGATTCTCTAGTAAGTCGTACGGATAAATCAAAATTTTCTAATCGTTCTAACTGTGATAAACTGTAATTTTATACACATCCGACATATATATATATATATATATATATATATATATTTACACCAAACGCTAATCTAGCTCCATCCATTCCCATCCCCTCTTTTACAACAGCTTCTCAATTCTTTACGGCTCAACGTTTCACTCGCCCGTTCTAACTCGGTCAACCCCGAGTCAACTCATCTTTCCCATTCCGCGTCCCCTCCGGTGAGTACTCATAGTCGCCGTTGAAAGAGGAAAACTCCTATAACCTAGCGAATCATTCTGATCGGAGACTCGCGATCTCCGACGACTCCATAAAAAAATCCCCTTTCTTTCAGCCCTGGCCCCAGCAGTTCAAGTACATGACTTTCTGGAGAGAGTCGTCGGCTTGCCTAAGCCGGTCCTCGCAATTCCCGATGAGGCCGAACAGACCCGTGCCGATCGCGCCGGCGAGTGGCCGGAGACCGGCGGATTCTCCTCCGGAGAACCTCCTCCTGTTTAGCTGGAGAGATCTGAGGCCCGATTTCCCTTTACCTTGATCAGTGTGGCCTTGAACGACGGCCACGCTCGCCGCGATCCAGATCCTGTTCAGGTAATTCATCTTTTTCGAGGTTTGATTCGGAGAAATTCGACGAAATTCTTGATCTTTTTTATTATGCTTCGTATTGGTGAGTCTGAAAGCGTGGAACTGAGAGCTGAGAGGAAAGCGTTATTTATAGAAGGGGAAAAGTGGAAGGAGAAGAAGGTGGTTTTGTGAAAACCGCGAATGGTTTTGGGATGAGATTGGTTGGCGAAGTGGCCGAGGTGCTTTTTTTTTTTTTTTTGTCGTTTTTCTCTTCTTTTGGTGGTTTATTTGTGATGAGACATTTATAATATTGATTGATGTGTCCAAAATCGTGATATTATCGTCTCAAGAGAAATTATTGTACTTATCCTCTCCTTATTTCTTTCTCTTCGGTATATTAAGCCGGTGTACCGTGTATTCGACCAGAAAAAAAAAAAAAAATGGTGTATTATCCCTTTAAAAACATATAATATATAATATAATAATAAAAAGATGGTGTAATAGTTATATGCGACGAGGAGTGAAATAGTAGTACGGTGATTAATAAATTATAACATAATTTTTAAAATATATAATTTATAATATAATTTAATATCTTAAGTTTGTAATATTATTAAAATTTTATTTGCACTTAAATTTTAAAAAAATTAAATTCAAATTATAACTTTATTTAAATTCACGTTCTTTTATAAAATTTGAGTTTAAACTTGAATTTTAACTTAAGTTTTAGCTTAGATTTGAGATTAAAATTTGAGTTTAAATTCCCTCTTCAATTTAAGTTCATAAATTCAAACTCAAGTTAATGAATAATATTTTTTATATTCTTGAAAACGTCATAATTTTTTTATTTTAATTCCGATTGAGATGATTTTTTTTGTGCATTCACAACGAAAAGATGAATAAAACCCAACTCATATACCCTATTAAAATTTTTCATCACCATTGAGTTTTTATTAAAATAGTATCTAAATATAAATTTAAGTTTTGATCTACCCAAACACAAACTCAAATAGATTCTCAATTCAAATCAAAACTCAAAATGTGCATATCCAAACACAAACTCAAATTAGAGTCTCAACTCAAATTATACTCAAATACACCTTAACTCAAATAAAGATCTGAACTCAAGTCACCATAACTCAAAAAATGTAAATAAACAAGCCCAAAAATATCCTTAAAACTTTTTTCCTCCCACCTCTCTTCTTCCCTCTCTAGTCAAGTACACCATGACTGGCACTGGCTCTGGTTATCGATCTGACGACCGATGGTTGATAAATATTGTATTTATCAGTAAATATTATATTTATTCAAAAATCTAACGGCCGATACCGGTAACTGATAAATAGCGTATTTACTAGTAAATATCATATTTACTCGTAAAAACAATATTTATTTAAAAATTTGACGACTCACTCCGGTGACTGATAAATATTATATTTACTCGTAAATATCATATTTACTCAGAATTACTATATTTACTGATAAATATTGCATTTACTTATAAATACCATATTTATTAAAAAATTCTATAGCCGGCACTGCGACTTGTAAATACCATAGTTACTGATTAATATTTTTATTTACTCGTGAATACCATATTTATTTAAAAAGCTGACGACCGACTTCCTGATAAGTATGGTATTTATTAATAAATTTAGGATATACAAGTAAATACCATATTTACCAACGCTAATGACCAATAAATAATACCATATTTACTCATAAATTTAGTCGCCCACGCCAATGACAGTCGGCGAAAAAAATCCAATAGCTGATAAAAATACCTATTTTCCTAAAAATCTGATCACCGGCGTCCAATAATATGATATTTATCTGAAAATAACCACTTAGTTGGAGATCAGATAAAGACGCCGGAAACCAAATCACAACAAAAATTTACAAAACAATCCACCAAAATCTCATATCTTAAAAATTGCAGAAAATTCACCAAAGCAATCCAACAAAAAATCTACAGCCTTTTTCTCACAAATAGTCTACCAGAACTAAATCACAACAAAAAAATTTGCCATAACAATCTAACAAATAATCTACTAGCCTTTTCTCCCAACAATGGTTCACAACGGCGACACTGTATTCGTTCACAGCGACAGCGGAGGTGGTGGCGCACCTAGTTCACGAAGTCGGCGAGATCTCTTATCAAATTTATTCTCTCTACTTGATTTCTACGGTGGCGGCATCATTGAGTTCATATCGGTCGTCGTCGTTAGGATCGGCTAAATCTAGTTTGCAGAGGCGGCAACAAGGTCTTGTTCGCAAAGCTGATGAACTCTCTATTGGACTGGTTTGAGGTTCCTGCTCGAGAAGATCGTGGATCGTCCACTGTCAGATGCACAAGCAGACATTGAGGTCACCATCGGAGAAGGTACCGACGATTGTGAAGCTTCGCCTGTAGGAGATCCATATGCATCACTAGACTAGAATCACGAAAGGAACCTTGTCAGAGATCATCGGTCGTCGCCTTTCGAAATCCTTAAGATCTCTTTGTGCGGTGGCAGGCACTGTCGTTGGGTATCGCTCGATCCCTATCATCCAGATCTGACAGCAACGAGCAAAGATTCGTCGCAACAGCAAGTGAGAGGAGGAGAGAGACAGTCACGAAGGGGAAGAAGAAGAGAGAGAGTTGTAGAGGAGAAGAATGGAAGAGAGAAGGGACATGGGGACTCGGGAGGGTAGATAGAGAGAGACAAATAAAAAGGGAAGAATTAGGGATAAATTTAGAAAACAAAATATTTAAAACTAAAATGTCCTGTTCATTTCACCAATTTGAGTTTTACTATAGTAAAAAGCTTTCAGAAATAATCACATCTAACTTTTTTGGTACAGTAAAAAATTCTCACATAAAGTCACATCTCAATTTGAATTAAAAACTCAAATCAGCAAATTAAACGAGCCCTAAAAATGTGCTATAATTTACTATGTTTGATTAATTGTGTTGTTTGTTTTAAAAACACCCTTCAAATGTGATATATCCTGTATTTTCTCTAGTTATAATCTCCTTAATAATTACGGGCCTATATAAAGAATAATCTCCTTAATAATTACCTATATAAAGAAATTGTGGGGTCCTTTGTTTGCGAAAACGACCAACACAGTTAGTATAGAATATTAGATGGTGTGGTGTCACTGTCCGTTTACTACATATAGAGATAAGGTGGGCTTTAACAAAGGGAAAAAATGACAAATAAATAAGATAAGGTTCCATAATTACTTGTTTAATGAAACGGACAAATTTGATTCATAATTATCTGCTAATACTTTAGGCCCCCCCGGACAAATTTGATTCATAATTATCTGCTAATACTTTAGGCCCCCCCCCCCCAAAAAAATGTTAACATTTTAGTTTAAGATTGATAAGATTCATAATATTTTAATTTCACATTTTAACATTAATATTTTCTAATACAAGAATATTAATATAATATTTAGCTTATGTTATACTTGGTACAATAAAAAATAATATATATCAAATTTGACCGTTAAAATTATTGATTAATGTATTAGAGTTTTTCATTCCATCATCATAATAGTATCTTTCTTAAATTACTAAAATTAAATAATATAAATTACAAAACTCAACAATTCTGATAAAATAGATAGAACTATAAATATTCACATTTGAATATGGCCTATTTTACATAGATAGAGCATTATTTTTCTCTTTTTCTCTATTTTTGGTGACAGAGTAAGCAGTTCTTGAGCCAAAAAAAAAAAAAAAAAAAAAAAGGCATTCGATTGATAAAACAGTAGGGGCAGGTGGCGGGCTGATCCCAAGGGGCATAGGACATCCCACATCTCATCTCCATGCAACCAATGAAAGCGCACCACCAACACAAACGGGTCCCACCGCCGATGACTTTTTATTCTTGGCCTTGTCTCTGTACTCTGTAATAGTGTCGTTTTGTCTTCAAGTTCCGGGGGTAGTTCTGCCATTTTAGGATTTGCTTACTTCCAGGAGGGGATAGAAGGGTCACGTGCAAGGGTCAATGGAGTCGGACTTGTGGCATTCAGTTCTCACGATGGTTTTCAAGGCGGAGAAAAAGGGCATGGGCATCACGTGCACCGTGGGGTCCAACTTTCGACTTATTACCCAAGTCGGTCCCACAATTACAAGCGTTAAATTAAGATGATGTCTTTAGTGAACAATTGTGTTATTACAAAGACCCCCAAACTATTTTTGGCTATTATAACGAGTTGCCACTACAGTCCAAAGGGGGTGACTTTCACAACTTTTGATGCGTGAAAGTTAAATACACTTTTCAAGCACTTCACTTATTAACACAAACAACTCTCATTTGCATTAATTTAATATTTGGTTCTTGTTTATGTAAGTCTAACATGTTACATGTTCAGAACAAAACTAGTAACATAAATGATCGGATGTAGTTCAGAACAAAACTACAAAAAGCACAAGTGCGCGACAGAAAATTGTAATAAAGAAGAGAAAAGATGCGTCCAAAATCATGGGGGTCGAATTCCACCTCATTAATTAGACCAAAACAAAAAAAAAAAAACAAAAAACAAAAAACAGAGGGCGGTCATGGATTTTTTTTTTTCCCCTACAAAGGAATAAAGGGTAAGAAACTTGCTTCGAGTGTCGACACCGTCATTGAGACCAAGGAACCAAAAACTGCAAACGGATCCCAAATGATTCGTATGATTTGGGATCATTCTGGGAACTAAAGCCATTGGCACAAAGAATGTTGTGTGTGCCTATCTATGCCCAACAAAAATGATACAATGATTTGGATAAGATCATTAACTGTTGCCCACATAAACAAGCCTAGAGATAGAGAGAGAGAGAACACTCAGTTTTGAATTAGCTGTTCTAACATGTAAAAATAATAAAACAAAAATTAGCATCAGATTTATTTTATGTAATAATGAGTTATAAAAATATAATCAGTTGTGATATTTCTTTCCCTTATAAGACTGTTAGGCATAAAAGTTGTAAATATCCTCATTGAAGTAGATTTGAATGAAAAGAAATAAAACTACTATATATAAATGCAATTGCAAACACTACTAGTTTCTCAACTAGTCAGAAATTGTCTTGACAGGGTTCTAACTTTCGGTGTATACAATGGTTGTGTTTAAAGCATTGCATTTCCACCGTTTTGATTTTAGAAGAAGAAAGAAAATACGGAAAAGGGAAAATGTTGAGTTTATAATGAATGAAAATCAAAAGGCAATTCGATCGACTGAAGCTCATAGCACCAGTAAGGTCATCATTGCAATGATAAATAGATCTTTCACCTTTATTTTCCACATGATTATATGCCTTTAATAAGGATAAACCTTAAGTCACTTTTATAATATGGTTATGGAAAATGAATAATTAAAAACTCGAATCCGCTAAGTGAATGAGGTTTGAGTTTGTATTTAGGTATGTCAAAATTTAAATTTATATTTAGATATTACTTTAATAAAAACTCAATGATGATGAAAAATTTTAATAGGATATATGGGTGAGGTTTTATTCGTCTTTTCGTTGTGAATGCATAGAAAAAAAATCATCTCAATCAGAATTAAAATGAAAAAGTTATGACATTTTTAAGAATAGAAAAAAATATTGCTTATTAACTTGAGTTCGAATTTATGAACTCAAGTTGAAGAAAAAATTTGAACTTAAATTTAGCTCCAAATTCGAATTCAAACTCAAATTTTATAAAAAAACATAAATTTAAATAAAATTATAACTCAAATTTAAACTTTTTTTTTAATTTTATCGCAAAAGAACAACCCCGAATAACTTAGCGTTGTCTTTCCTATTTAAAAGGCACAAATACACTCGGTAATATCGAAATAACATCATTTGAGAGGGACGTCCAACAAACTAACATGTCATGGCACTGTAATGGCTTATTATAAAAAAATAAATAATAATAACAAAAAAAGTAATATATATGAGTGGTTAAAATGGAATTTTTTTTTTATAAAGATTTGGACCAGGAAAATCAGAATCGCATTTAGATCTCAATAAACATTACGTTAGTTACAAAAAACTTTAACAAAAGTTATAAAATTATATCCTCCTTCTACCCATCATTCTGGCTAACACACTTTTGCTCACATCCAAACTAATAAACTATTAACACCAATATATTTATATGCGAATCTTCATTTCATGTGATTGCAGATTTCTCACCTTTCATTCTTTTTAAGTCTCACTATATATGCTGAGAGAAAATAATGATCACATAGATGGGTACATATCCATTGTAAGTCCATTTCTCAGTCATTCAAAAAGTTTCAGTTTAATATTTGGGAATTCTTTTAAAGAGATTTGGTTCGTCACATCAATATTTTACGAACAATATGCAACTCTTTTGCTGGACACTCATATCTCAAGTTTTATGAAAGTAAAAAACTTTTTCTAATATTTAAACCACGGTATTGAAAAAATCCATACTGAAAATTAGTGAGTTTCTCAACTCTTAAAAGTGGAGGGGGGGGAAAAAAAAAAAGGTGATTATCCCAAAAGGATAATGGAAACTTGCAGTGTATACAGTTGATACAGAGGAAGGTATCTATAGTGTGCAAAAAATCAAGAAGAAAACCAACCAAATCCATCCACAAAGCCCAGTATCAACTGGTTTTTTCATAACATTTGCTATCAAAATAAACCTTCGTTTTCAATTCCATTCCCTCTATCTATCTACAAGTAACAAGGCATGAACCTTGACTCAAGATCCTTCAATCAAATAAAAAATTGCCACTGCATTATCCACAACAAGACATTCTTCCACTTTACCTTTGATGGTCCAATTTTGTTGTAGCAAGCTTTTCTCAACTATCAGCAGGGAAAAGAACTTTTAATGTCGCAGATTGAAACCTCTATCCATACAAAAAGAAAGAATCACTTCACACTGAATCAACCCCTTCAACTTGTTGTCGAGCGAGGTATCTTTCCCTTCGCTCTTTCTGCACATAGAAAAGGGAATTGAGCAGATATCAGAACATGCACAGATGGAAATTTATACAAAAACTCAGAAACTAAAGAAAGACAGCTAAAATGTTCAATGCATCACCCATTCATCTATGACAAGCCCTTCGCCAACAATTCGAGGGCCCGTGTCTTCTGGAGGCTTTTTACGAGCCTCAAGTGCAGCTTCTGCCTCAGCTAATTGTCGCTTGAGTTTGTCGAGTGCCTTGACAAAATGAAAGTTGAGCACTCCATTCAATCTTGGCACAAAAAGGGGGGGAAAAAGAAGCAAGCAGAAGAAAAAAATAGTGCAAGGAAAGACAGCATTGTAGTTTGTCAATCCCACTTACAGGGCTTTGGCGTTCAGGGTCAAGGAAAACAACTCTTAGAATTTGCTCAACAGCCACATGGTCTTTTTGTTCATCAAACTGCATAAGATTATCATAGGACACAGTTTGTTCAATACTTTACACCACACTGATCTCTCCTCTTTTGTTAAAATAAACATAAACATCAAAAGCAAAACCCGTCTATCAGCTCTTCTGACAATCAAAAACAAAAGTCTTAATCGAACTGAATCCTCTGTATGCATCACCTAGTCAGGCTGAATATCAACTAATCAGGTCGGTTGGAAGCAACAACATACATGGGCAAGTGATTCGAAAACTCCGATTTTTACAGTGTAATTTGTAACCGACTCTAGAAGATAACGATCATTATCTTGCACTCTATGGGAAGCAATTATTCACACAAGCCACTAGACTGAGTGGGGAAAAAGCAATGAACAACGTTATAAAGTCCTCAACATGATGAAAACATATCAACAACCAGTATACTGATCCCACAGTATCCACTTCTATTATTTTCAGAAAAGCTGAAAATTCAAGGATGTTAAATTCAATTGGCCTTAGCAAATCTAAAACTCATAACAATAAGAATGAGTGCCCCTAACATAGAAGATATACATTAACGAAAAAGATAATGCTGTAATTTAAACAGCAGACTTGGTATGAAAAAGATACCAGTTCCGGAACATAGTCCATTTCTCCTTTCACTTTTAGACTTATGATCTTGAACTTGACCCTGCTCTTCTGATCCAGTGGTTTTTCATTACTCTCCGGAGGTTCCACAAACTTGAATACTGTCAATCATAATATTAAGAATTTTAGAAGAGGGCCTTAACATCTAGCACTTAGTTTTACAGTATCACTTTTTACAAATATGGTAACATAAAACAAAAAGGAAGCAAATAAAAGAAAGGGGAAGGTCAAGAATTACAAATTTACCGGTTGCAATAATACTTTCACCAGGAGCAAGTATGCCTCCAGGAGGACGCATGTAACAGCTCTTTGGTGCTGTTGTTTGGAACTAACACGATACACATGTAATCAGTTGGGTGACAATATTACTGAAAAAACTGCAAGATCACTCGAGTACTTGAAACTTGAAAGTTATATGACATTGCAGCCATCTCTTTCCAAGATTTATATAAAAGCAATGTTATTCAAGCAAGCGCATTACGCTAGCCAAACGTTTCGGAGGCCTTCAGTTGACTCTAGAAATTTATTCATCTTTAACTTCTGATGCAACTTATGGAACTTTTTCCAGTCTATGAACTTTATATTTTTCTTTTCCAAATTGTTACGCAAATAGTATGTTGTCCATTAGGTAAATATGTAATAACCGAATAATATGAGCATCAAAAGAAGCGAAGAAAAGAAAAGACAGAGAAACGTAGGACAAAAGCGAACTTTCTATTTTCCTTTTCCAAATTTACAGACTAGATATATATATGTATAAGCAAATAATATGAGCATCAAAAGCGGGGAAGAAAAGAAAAGACAGATAAACTGTTAAGTCCAAAGTACCTTGAAAGCTACATGAGACTTGCTTGTGTTTTTAATCCCAATGGCACTCCTAACCTGCTTACCAGGTTCATCTTCAGGTAAAAGAGATGCAAAGAAAAATATTAGGTAAATAAATAGTAAAACAAATATAGCTTTCAATCATGAATCACCAGCAGATTTAACCAACATTATAGCTTGCAATCATAATCCAGAATCCAGATATTTTAGGACAAAATCTTGCTAAAGAAAACACCAGATCGACCTAATGACAAACGAAACATAAATACAGACATTCAGGAAATGGGTGACAGGACACTTCCAGAGCAGAATTAAGACACAAATACAAAATTTGATACAATTTTCCTAAAGTAAAATCATTTACCATGAAAAATGATTTCCAAAAAGAAATTAAATAAAAGAAACTCTAGAACCATAAATCAACAAAATCATGCAACTCATAAAGAGAAGGTTCTCTATAATCTCCGAACTAAAAGACCCAGATAAGCTTTTTAGCAAATGAAGCCACTCTATTCAAATCTCCGAATTTGGATAGTAAACCATGCACTAAAAAGTTCAAAAACTAACCAAAAGGAAGTCTTTTTCTTAAATCAACAGACGAACAAACATAAACCCATTTCAAGTATCAATTACACCACTCAAAACCCAAATGCCCACAACAGAAAAATCATTAAAAAAAAAATTTAAAAAGGACATACATGGAAAGAAGAGCTTGGTGGGAGGGTCAAGACGGAGCCTTCTACGAGTGGGAAGGAGGGACTTGGCCATAGACGACACCGTATTGGAAGAATGAAGACTCGTTCGCTCCACAGACTGATGATGATGATGATGATGATGATGAGGGTGATTCTGATTCTGATTCTGGTGGTGGTGGTGATAAGCATTATGAGAATATTGCATAGAAGTTAACGAAGAAGATGAAGAGGAAGAAGACCCATTTCTCCCTTGCCAAAACGGCATTTTGCAAAGACTCCAAGCCTTCCCATCAGACCCAGATTTCTCTGCTTCAACGGCCATTCTCCAAAAACCAACAAAAAAAAAAGTTTTGGATTCTGAAATGTATATCCACAAAAAAAAAAGAAGATGGATTTTGTTTTCTGTTAAAGAGAGATATTTGGGATTCTCAATGTGGGTGTCTTTGTTTGAGAAAGCTCTTTATCGTAGAATTTGTTGCAAATGTAGGTGAATGTGATTGTGACCTTTCGTAATATATTTTGCTTTCTTTCCTTCTTCTTTTTCTTCTCTCAGAACTTTCTTTTCTTTTATTTTCTTTCCTTTTTTTTTTTTTTTTTTGCTTTGCTGGGTTGTCGGAAATGGCGGTGGTTAATTTAACTCGGGTGTTTGATTATTGGGCAAACGAGGTTGGAGATTGAAACGTCTTTTAATTTTTTTCTTCTTTTTTTGGGTGGTGGGTTGAGTTAAATTCGGTTGCACTGCTTAGATCTCAAAAGGAAAAAAAAAAAAAGTGGAATTTTTGTGTACTGTGTTTGTTTGTTTGCCTCATGAGGTCTCTGATTAAATTTTCTGTTTCGTTTCCCGGGCTTTTTTACAGTTGGCCTTCTATCTCCTACCTAAAAAAAAAAAGTAGTACTTTTTCAGCACGGCGACTTTTTCAATGAGGCAGTTATGTGGTAGGGTATATCAGTAAAATATTGGATATATCAAAATTATTGAATAATCAAAATTTAACTTGTATCTTATCAAAATTTCTCTAGTAATCAAGTTTTTAGGAGGTTTTTTTTAGGTGTGCATAAGATATTATCGTTACTTGTCTTCTATATTGAGTATTTGGCTAATGGATGCAAGTGGTAGTAGCAAGTTGGTTCTTGAAAGCAGTGCTGATTTGATTTCATTCTTATTTTTATATAAAACCAATATACCCATATAATTAAAAATTTAAAATCATGTTTCTTTTAGAGAAGTTTTTTGTACACCTAGTGTATTAATATGTTATATTTGTTTAACTGTTAAATTTGTATATTTTTTAATTTTTATATAATTTTATGCAGATGATGTATAAAAAATCTGACCCACTGTGTGTTGGTGTATTAGAAAAAATTCAAGTGGAATTTAAAATCAAGTTGACAGCAGCTATATGTTGGAAAAACTAAAAAGCAAAAGAGAGAGAGAGAAAAGAAGTGTTGGATATCACTTTCTACAGGTTGCAGATTCTACTTACTTGCCTTCTTTTTTTTTCCCCATCTTATTTATTTTTGTTCTTAGGTTGGATTCTGCTTTTGCTTAAAAAGAATAGAAAAAAAGGCTTAATGAGCATGAATGAGGCCATAATATGCCATGATGTTACAGCAGTTGAACATGTTCTTTGCGGTGCCATTAAAGATAACGACACAGAAAATGCCCACTGATACACCCATGTGGACCTCTTTGTTAAAAGCATCTCTCTCTCTCTCATCTTTTCCAATCCAACTCATATTATTTGTGATATGCAATAATTTGGCCCATTTTTCATCTGGGTAAATTACTAAACCCCGTGCTATGGTATAACCAAACAACCCTTTGCGTAAAGTTACTTTCTGTTCCCCCCAAAAATCTCCTTTTCACAAAGGTCCATCCAGTCAATTTGATGGACCCAATGACAAAGGTGCTTATTTGCTTAGAGACTAGAAAACAATAATCTATATCTAATTCTCAACTAATAGATGATAAAATTAATATTGAAAATTAGATTACCAAACTCAATGTAATCTAATTATTTTCCTCAATTGATTAGATTTGATACTGTACAACAATAAAAGAAAAGAGAGAGAGAGAGATTGGCCTGTGTAGATCCAAAGCCATGCAATTCCATATCTTTCCAGCTCATCAAATATCAGTTGGGTCCCCAACAACTCAAGTACATTATTATTCTAAGTGACTCTTCTGTTTGCTTCACATTCTGCTTCTTGCTAATTCTCCTCTTTTTCTCCGCATTTTCATTGTAAGAAGAACATGTAGAAGAAGAAGAAGAAGAAGAAGCATAAGAAAAGGAAGATGATCTTTCCATTTGTGTGGACATTAATGGTTCCAACTTTTCATGAATTACAAGTGGGTGACATAAGCCAGAATATTTCAATCTGCATAATCTCTTGTCCTTCAATTTCTCCATAGCCGTCAGGCCCGTAACTGTACCTGCAACAGCCCAAGCCTTGCCCTTCCGACTCCTTTTTTTTTTTTTTTTTGGGATTTCAACACAGAGAATTAAAAAGGGTTCAAAATTAATGCGGTGCAAAAGAATCTAACTTTTATGACGCATTGATATCACTCCAAAACTAAATTAGGTGATTTTTTAAGACGAAAAATGTGTTTTATGGCCACTTCCACTGCATTTATATAAGAGCTAGAGGATGATGTATATTTCTGTGTGTGTGTATGTACAAGCATTGGCTATTTGGCTTGGCATATTCATTTATAGATTGAGCCGTGTAACTGAAGAAATGTCTGCACACAGCTTTCTGGGCATCAAAGATTCAAAGTGAAAGCAGTTTCAAATTGGCTTCCGGTTTTGTGCCATTCCAAGACTCGGCTCCCGTCTTACCAGCGGCTATTTTGTTTTCTTCACCACGGAATTTAGGCAGAAAATTTGGAACCGTTTTCCTTCGCTAAATAATTATTGAAATTAAGAACATAATTGAGCCTAAAAATATTTGGTAAAAGAGAACAAACCAGAAAAAGAAGACCTCAACATATAGTTTAAGATCTAAACCTCTTAGTCACTACTCAATAATCAAGATTTTGTTATAACGTCTGCCAGTCATTTTTATAATGACAACTATTTTCTTATATTTTGCTACACGTGCGAAAAATCATGTACTACTACTAGTACGAAATTTCTCACTGCATTTTATTATGCTTCTTCAAGAGAAATAATATGAGTTATATAGTACTATACATATAATAATATGTTTTGACCTCTATGAGAGATTTTCTGGTACGCCTGACGTACTGATATGTCAAGTTTTTCTAACCGTTAAATATGCATATTTTTTTAAACTTTTACGTGATTTTATATAGATTTAACAGACCAAAAACTCAATCTACCTACCACAAGAAGTCCTCATAATATAACCTAATTCATTTGTACTATTGTCGGTTTAAGGGGACCCACAACATCTAATTAAGTAAATGATTTTCCTGATAAGAGTATTATAATAACAACTCTATTGAAGGTTCTTGGATCGATCTTAGTAGTAAAAGAAAAATGGCTACCAACATAAAGTTATAATTAGGATTTAAGAACAACTAAAGGAAGCCTTATGGAAAGTTGAAAATTCTGTACAGGAAAAGGTACAGCCATTGAATGAATGAAGGAAGTGGCCAAAACCAGAGGCTCATAAGTTATAAATTATACCTCTCGTTTCTGGTTTTGAGCATATTTTATGGGCGAGGCAGGGATGATGTTAAATGACATCATTGTCCTTTGTACCATATTTTTGCATACTAAGGACAAATCCAGTTTTTGAACATAGTTTCGAATAACGATTGTGATTGGTTCAAGGCAATACGCAGTCAATTGCACTCCGTTTTCTGGTAATAATAATAAAAAATAAATAAATAAAATACAAGTAAACCCAGAGTATTTGGGATTGGAGTCTCCTTCGATTTTATCAGTTCTTGATGCAGCGAAATAGAGAAAATAGAATTTTATAGGTCTAACTGGATGAAAAATGGGACTTAAAGTTTTCAAAAACACCTTAAAAACCATAAGGTGAAACTTCTAAATTGGAGAAAAAATTTAAATTTTCAATATTCAAGTCTGACTATTATAATAATTAGTGTGGCTATTTATAGCTCACACACAGAATGAAAATAAAATAATCATTAAAAGTTAAAACAAACTATAAAAGCATGTCTAAATCAATAAATTAGTACAAAGGACATAGAAAATATAAGAGACTTTTGTAGCTTAATTTTCCTATCCTTTACCACTATAAATTCTGAGATTCATTATATATTACGACAGCATTTGATGAACTTCAGCCTCAATCTCTTTGAACTGTTACACAAAATTACAATAATTAATAAATAAAAAATAAAAATAGTGATCGTCCCATAGAATCATGTTTTGGCCGCATGGCATGGTTATATGCCGCTTTCAATTGATTTTCCTTTTCAGTTAAATATAAGTTACTAACTTCGTTTTTTCTTAACAAATTTTCAAGACGTGCCATCTTACTAACTACACTTCTATTAAGTGAGAGGTTATATAGTCTGTAGTTTAAAAAAAAATATTTGACAAAGAAGTTGATACCCCAAGACCAAGTCTTAACGCTAAATATGCACTACAATGTAAATTAACATACTACAAATCTTATAATGTGTTTAAGCATGAAATTAAAATAACCACAAGTCCGAATGTGTAAATTAGAAAACTATTTGCGAGGGAAAAAAAAATCAAATTAGATATGCATTTTTTTAGGGAATATTAGACCTCCAAATTTTATAAAAGCAAATGAGAAAAGATAAATACATAACGTGACTTGAAAAAGAAAATTTGCTATGTATCAGCTAATGGAATCACCAATGATTTGTAATGAAAACAAATTGTGTGAGCTTTTGTGTCATAATTAGTGTGTCCTGCACTTCAAATCTATACCTCACGAATTTATATAACATTGTTTTTTGAAAAACGACCAACCAACATACCATGAGAATAATAAAACAAGAGAGATCACATGAGGTCGTTTTTGGTATCCTGTCATATAGAAGTTGATTTGGAAATATATGTTTTTGTTTTGCGCAGAATTAAGGGACATATTTCATCGAATACAATTCACGCCTAATTCATTTTTTCCGATTAAAGTGGCTCTCACGCACCCTTTCATAGTGTCTTATAGTCATTTTTTAGTTTATATATATATATATATATATATATTTTATGTACATTATTATTTCCGATCCCCTAAAATATAGTTAAGTGTGACTCTAATACTCAATACAATAAAGTAAAATACTGATTACATCGCTATGAATAATCACGAAAACCTCTCTTTTGAAAAATGTTAACACATAAAATCCATAAAAAAAAAGAAAATTAAAAAGAATTCTAGTTTATTGC